ATGCTTGTGACGCATGGACTTGTGCATGCATGCATGCGTGCTTACATTTGTGCAGATTGGAATGAGGGGATGGAATGGAAGAGGGGAAGAGCAAGCCGTGATAGGGGGATTGACAGATAGGACGTTCTAGAAAGGTGGACGTGCATTGCTCATGGCTACGATCCGGACGTCCGAACCGCCGTCCAGACAGTCTGGATTCAGTCCGGACTCCAGACGTCCGGTCTGGAAGGTCCGGATCTGCCAAAATTCGAGGAAAAAAAAAAAAAAAAAAACAACGGTCCAGGACCCTTCCCCATTGAGGAGCCAAGCGCCCAAAATTGTTTTGGGGGGTTTTCAGGCCCGTTTTTATGCTTTTTTGGGGGGTCTGGACATGCTCTCTCTCTATAACAATTTATTAGACAACCCCATTTTTTTAATTATTAATAATTCATTACCTTTTATTAGTTTTTAAAGTCTTTTTTAAAGCTTTTTTGATAGTTTTTGACTTGTAACTCAACTTTGGTTAGGCATTCTGACACGACTCTGAGGCAAAAGTGGTTTGCATTGTTATTCTGCATAGCATACTTTTTTTTTTAGATTTTGTTTTTAATGGTCCGGACATCCGGACCGTCCGGATCCCCCCATGTCCGGAGGTCCGGAAATGTCCGGAATTCCGGACGTCCGGAAAACTACCGGACACAGGTCTGGTTTCATGTCCGGAAATGTCCGGGTCCGGGTCCGGCGTAGCCATGGCATTGCTCTTATTTTCGCTTTTCTTCTTTTTTCTTTTTTCTACGCATAAATTGAGAAATCGTCCAAATTTTTGTGTACGACGATGACAGTGTCACAGATAGAGTTGCCTGTGAAGAGTTATGTAGGCAAGATGTCCGAGCGGAAAAAAAAGAAAAAAGAAAAGAAAAGGATCGGAAGGTCTGATGGTTTAATGCTGTTTTTTTAATATATGCTCTGGTTTTGATTTCTGCCCCCTCTACGCACCCCCCACCCCCCCTCCTCACCTCCTCTTGAATTGTGGGAATCCGGGAGGCAGTCTCCAGCAGGACCAGGTGCAGCTCCCGACCAATTGATCGGAGCCATCAAAAGAAGTGTGGAGCCTTCTTTAGAGGATGCTCGTATCACTCCCAAAAGTACGCCTTCTGGTGCTGTTAAAAGAAAAGAAAAAAAGAGGAGTAATGTTTGTTCGGAAAATCTCCCTCTTTTTTTTTTTTTTTTTTTTTTTTTAACTCTTACTCTAAAATGGTTTTGTTTTTAACTCTTACTCTAAAATGGTACGAAGGTACCGAAAATGAAAATAAAAATGGTATGATCTTTGAAGGAGAGAATCACTGTCCTTCATTTTTTTTAGTTATTAAAGTAAGTAAATTTTTATTAAAAAAAACGTTTTAATTTTTTTCCCGTCGAGTTGGCTACGAAATTCGAGATGGTCCTCGCCCGAAAAACGTTTTTATTGCAATGCTGCACAGCATATCGTTTTTTCAGATTTTTATCAGTCGGAATTTTGTTTTTTTTTGGGTGGGGGGATGGATCGGGACACTCTGGGCCGGACACCGAACCCGGGCATCCTGACCCCGACCGTCTGCACTGCGGTCCGGATGTCCGGATCGTAACCATGGCTGGTAGTCTATGTGGAAGCTGCGTCTGTCAGCAAGAAGTCCCGTCGGTTCTCGCCGAACGTCTCGGTCAAGAGCGAGGGCAGCTGCCATTGTATATTGAGCTGTTGGATTGCTCAAGACTCAAAAGTGTAGACAGTCTGTGCTTGTGATCTACCCAAGTAAGTCCTTCGGGACGTCCGTTGAAATTGAATCGAGAAAAGGTCCAAAAAGCTAGGCTACCAGAGTGGCCCGGGGTCACTTGCCCGGCCGGGCCAAAAACAATAAAAAAAATGAAAATAAAAATAAAAAAATAAAATTTCATTTTTTTATTCTAAAATTGGTGCAGAATTTCAATGTGACCCTGG